ACATAAATTCTTTTAAAAACCAATATAATGCCCTAATTGTAATAAAATAGAAAAGTGATTATATTAAAGATAAATGTTTCAGTATGGAGATGTTCAAGAATGGCAACATATAAAAGACATAATAAGTGAGTTGCTTACACTTATTACACATAGAATCAGTGCAAATGCTGCAGTTATTTGTGTGAACTAATATAGGTATGTTGTTCGTAACTTAAATATCATGGGGAACAGATAAAATGAAAGAGTAGAGAGAGGACCAAGTGGGCCCTAGAATAATGTTAGAATATTAATGTTAGAATCAGTAATGACAAGCCAAAATAATTTGTATGTGATTAGAGAAAGAAGGAAATAATCTTAAGTAAAATAGGAGTAACATGCCATGATAAATTACAGGCTATTAAAAAATTATAGGCTATTAATGTAGAGAAAATGAAGAAGTATTATGTTCTTGTAAAGTAGACCCTATTTTTAAGTATAATGTCAAAATATTTTCCTTGTTATGACAGAACTGAGTAATGAAAAATGTCACAGAAAACATACCTTCCATCTTGAAATTCCATCATGTATAAGGCATACTTTTCATCAGTATATGCTTAAAATATCATGAAGACCATATCCTTGGTAGGTGATGGAAATTGAGGATAGATTGGAGAAAGAAATGGTAATACAAGCTGCTATAGAGAAGTTGTATAGTTGTGTGGTAAACCTCTGAAGACAGAATCAAAATGAGAATGAAAAATAACAGGTAAAAAACCAATGGTTTGGTATTGATTTTTGCCACGAAAAATTTTTTAGTCATGTTGTACCCAAGTATTAAAAATATACAGAAGCAATAATAGGAGATATTAAAACAACCTTTGTTAATAATACTCAGTAAAATCTCTACATTTCATGTGTATCTACTAATTTACCAGGATTCGATTAGGAAGTCTGTTGAAGAGTATGAAATAGGCTCTAAAAATGTATAAAGGACAGCTCCAAATGCTGAATGACACATATGTGTTACATTAGATTCAAATGACACAGGTTGTATTGCTGTCAAGTGATTTTTCCCTAATGGTGAATAATTTC